ACAGGTTGCATTGATAATGGAATGCATGTAATTTAGAAATTAATAAAAAATATTCAATTTGTGCATTTTAAAAAAATTAATAAATAGAGCTTTGGGCGACTAAACATTTAATAACCAAAAAATAAAAAGGGAACTTATTGGTGACTAAATAGTTAGTAGCCAAAAAAAAATTTGAAAGTTTTTGGCGATTAAAAAATTAGTAGTTAAAAGGGAGTACCATGATTTTAGCGACTAAAAATTGATAGCCAAACAAAAGTGCCACGTTTTTAGCAACTAGAAAATTGGTAGCCAAAAAGGAGTGAAGTTTTTAGCGACTAAAAATTTGGTAGCTAAAAAGCTGAAGATGAATTTTTTTATTTTTTTTTTGCGACTAAATATTTTCTTTTGGGCGACCAAATTTTTAGTCTCTAATTTGAAACTTTCGGCGACTAAAAAAAAAATTAGTTGCCAATTCTTTTGCCGACAATCAGTCAACGACCAAACGGGCGACCAAGAATTTTAGTCGGCAAAAATCTTTGGTGATTAAAAAACTGACTTTTGGCGACTAAATATTTAGTCACCAAAAGTGTGACTTGTTGTAGTGTGAATGTGAATATTTATACTTTCAATAAATAAAATATTGTGTATTTTTAGAAAGTGTAAAAGTTGATGTAAATATTCACTTTTTAAAAAAAAAATATTTTGTATTTTTCAAACATTCACATTTTTCTTACACATTGAAAGTGTGAATGTTTGCACTTTTAAAAAAATCACATTATTTTTATTCATAATAAATGTGAACATTCACATATTTTATTCTATAAAATTATAAAAATATTCAATAAAAAATTATGAATTCACACTTTTTACGCTTCGAAAATATGAAAATCGCATTAAAAAAAAATCTTTAAAAAAAGGGAGAAAAGTAAGAACTTGTCTTACTATTAAAATTTAATGTGAAATTTATTTTTTTTATTATTTTTTTTACATTTCAAATATGTGAAATTTCACACTAATATAAATTTAAATTTTAAAATATTGCAATTCAAAAACTATGTGAAAATTTTAAAATATGTTTAAAAAATGTGAAATTTTAAAAGTTACATTTTCAAATTCAAAATAATGTGAAGTATATATATATATATATTTTTAATTTTATATTCAATTGAAATATTATTTGATAGATCTCATCGAGTAGTTTTCAAAAATATAATTTTTTTATCAAAAACAAATGTATAAATTGAAAGTTATGAAATTTTAAAATTTGAAGCATTAAAAATAATAACTACCATATAAGTATTTTGACTATTTATCTAGAGTTGTGCTTGCACATAAATAAACGTAAAATTGTCTAAAATTTTGAAAAAAAAAATTGACTTAATCTTCTGAACAACTTATATAATGGGATTTTATTAAGAAAAGAACCATGGGACCTAATGGAATACAAGTGCATGAAATAGGATTTATGAGTAAAAATCCCTTATCGGGGGAAGGGTTCTCCACCAAATATTGGACTAGTATTATTCATTTTGGTGGACATAAAATCCAATCCCACGGCCTAATGTCAACAAACAAACACCCCCTATGAGTTGCTTCCAAATAGAGGTGGCCGATGGGAGGGTTTGGGCCGGTCAAAACGGATTATATATTTAAAGCAATTCAATCCAAACCTGTCCATTTAATAAATGGGCTTAAACGGATTGGGTTTGACAAATAAATCCAACCAAACCATTTATTTTCTCTCTTTCTTTTTTTTTTATTTGTTTTGATTTTCTTTGGAAAAATATTTTTTATTTCTTATTTTTGAAAAAAATATGTTTTTTTTTTGAAAAAAGTATTTTTTATTTTTTCAAAATATATTTATTATTTTTTAGAAAAAAATATTTTTTTTATTTTTTAAAAAATTATTTTAAAATATATATACATATATTTTTTATTTTTTCTAAAAAGTATTTTTTATTTTTTCTAAAAAGTATTTTTTATTTTTATTTTTAAATTTTTTTAGAATTTGTAGTACATTTGAACGAGCTTAAATTTGTAGCCATGTCCAACCCATGTAAATACAATTATAATTGAGTTAATAATGAACAACCCATTTAAACTCATTTATTGACTTGAGCTGGTTGATATGAGTTTTAAATGGATATAATTAGGCGAATTCATAGATTTGAGTAAGATTTGACACCTCAACTTCCAAACATGCCTGAGCTTCCACCGTAGGCAATGGATATTTTCTTATAATCTCCAATCTTCGGGCTCGGAGATTTCATCTTACGTAGTATGCAGTGAAGGCATTTTCTTATAAAAAAGATTCCACCTCGGGTGCATCTTGAGTTTCCAAAGCCACTTCCAAAACGCAGTGTCAAAACTATTTGGTGGAATAGCACCCCTCTGTGAATTGGATAAGGCCTAAAAATAATCTAACTTAACCGAATAATCACCATTTTTTATGGCCGCCAAATTGGTTTATGAGGACATGGGAAATGAGGAAAATGAATACCTTGGGTGGAAGGTATATGGGGTATGTTTGATTAGTAGGATTATAACATATAATTTGGATTGTTAGTTCATTTATTAATCGGATTACATGTACGACATATATTCAATCCAACGAAATTAGCGAATTTAATATTGAGAGAGGTTGGGATCATAATTTTAAGTATGAAAAAAAAAATGAATATATAATAAATGATTATCTCACTAATTTAATTGGATAAGTAATCCTACACTAATTTATTGAATTATTAATTCTTTCACTATTAATCTTGTTAATCAAATAAGGCTATAATGGTTAGAGTAAAATACCAGCAATAAATTCAAGAGTACTGCTATTAGAACCCCATTAATTATTTTGGACCCCCATTTTTTAGGTTTTTTTATTTTTTTTAATTTTTTATTTTATTACAATAATAATCTTAAATGGAATTACTAAAAGGACATCAATAATTTTGGGACACTCCATTTCACATAAGCCACACACCCAGTACATCATGAGTTAGGGTTTATGAGAGCACACACCTCCATCACCACTCATCCATCTTCTCCAAATCCCATCTTCAAAACTTGCCCACCGTCAAAACCTTGAAAATTCTTTGGCGACAATATTCTGGCGGGGCAAGCATTTAATTACATACACTTCTCCGACAATAACAATGAGGAAGTTTTTTCGGCAACCACAACTTCATAAGACGAGAGAAGTACAACAATAAAAACTTAGAAAAGATTCATAACTTTGATGATATTCTTAACTCAAAGGAGATTAAACATTGTAAATGTAAGTTTTTTGAAAAAAATGGCAAAAATAATAAAAATTGTTCATCATTTTTTCAGGATTAAACTCCCAAATGATCGAAATTCGGGAATATAGGCCCGAATGTTGTTTATTTGTTCGGAAACAAGTAACTGAACATTTCTTATTTGTTCGGGAAAAAATAACCGAAGTAGCAACAGCAGTAGAAGCAAGCAAACAGAAGAGGTCAGACCACCCTTGGGTGGTCAACCAGCGGGTGAAATCCTGCCCAATCTTGCTCACACAGAGAGCATACAAGTACAGTGAGGTCATTGATGAATGACAGAAAACCAACCCAAGATGCATGAAAATGAATTGTGTTGTGTATATGAAAAAAGGTAATAGAAAAAAAAAAATCAAACAGTTTGACAAACCTCGTTATGAAGTAGAGAAAAAACTCCTTAATCACCACAAATTTTTCCCACTGGTTTTGGGAGGTTCCACCGTCGTGGATTTTGTTAGGGTTTTGGGAGAGGCTGTTTGCATTTGAATTGGTTGAATATTTTTATAAGGATAATTTTGGTATTATTTGGAGGGAGAAAATAAATTTTAAGGGTTTTACAATTTATAAGTAAGGGTCCAAAGAAATGGACGGCCTACAATAATTAATGAGGTGCTAATAGTAGTACGCTAAATTCAAATGCCAACGATTAGATTGAATGTCAATAAAATGAGCTAGGTAGAGGGATTGAAATTTGAAAATGATTTTAAAAGTTAGGAATTCAGGATTTGGAAGCCTTCATAAATTAGGAAGACTAACGCCACGACATAAAATAATATATTATTCATAAAAAATGATATATATTGTAAATTTTTTTAAAAGATAAATTGCACTCGGCTTGCTTGAGAATTGAAAAAAATGAAGTTAATTTTAGTTTTTTGGCAGAATTACATTGACTTTCATTTTAATAAAATTTAAAATGATCGAAACTAATATAAATAATGAATAATACTGAACTAAACAAATATAAATATATATATATATATTTTTTTTAATAAAAAAAGATATAACAACTAACATTATTTATCTAAGAAAAAAGTATTACACAATTTATATCTCAATGTATTTTCTCAGAATAGATTCAAGGGGGTGAGTCTCGTATGTATTAATATCACTACAAGAAATGTCACTTTTGGCTACCAAAATATTGGTCGCCAAAAGTCCAATATTTAGTTGCTGAAACGATTTAGCGACTAAAATATTTGGTCGCCAAGCTCATCGCCTTTACCCTGTCGGCGATAGTATTGGCGACTAAATTTCATTTGGTCGCCGAAAGTGACCACATTTGGCTACTAATATTAGTTTAGTCGGCAAATGTTATGTTTCCGCCACTAAAACCTTTAGTCGCCAAATGAGGCTTTTTGGCTACTAAGTTGTTGTGGTCGGGGAAGGTGTCACCTTCAGCTACTAAATAATTAGTCGCCGAAAGTGCACATTTGGCTACTAAATTGTATTTAGTCGGCAAAAGGTGCATTCGGTGACTAAAGTGTTAGTCACTAAAAGTGCATTGGGTTATATTTTTGCTACTAAATTCTTAGTCACCAAAACATTTGATTACGTATTTAGCTACCAAAATATTTGGTGGCCAAATACTTTAACGTGTTTTTTTTTTATTTTTTTTTTCTAAACAACCTGTATCCATTGTTAATACAACCTGTACCCTGTATAAACAATATAATCCATCAACGCTAAATATGTTATCAAGCATTCAACAACGTGCACACATTTTAGTTCCAACCATCCAAAAAATTAATATTGAACGTCCAATCTTATATATATATATATATATTACAAATTCCATAAGAACCAAGTCTAATCCAACGTCAATAATTTAATTTCATACATAATACAGGAATAACCCACTACTCCCACTACACATTTTAGTTCCAACCATTCGAGGTGTCATGCTCTGCAACTGAAGCAGTTATATCCTTATCAAATGCAGTAGCAACAGAAGGCTCTGGTAACTCATCTATGGTGCTCCTTGTATCTGGGGAACCAACATCAGACTCAGAACCAGGCATACCCAGATGACCATTTTCAGTTTCTATTTCTGATATTGTATCCAATGAGCTCTGATTGGGAACCTCTACAACATTCACCCTATCAACAACAGAATTTGGCAATGTATCTTCCTCTAATGTAGAACGCTCTTCTCGATCTGAGATACTCCTTGCATTTTGGAAGTCTTCACCGTTCCCAAAAGAAGCAGAAACTTCCACATTTGAAAAAGAAGCAACTGAACTGTCTCCTGAATAGACATTTAAAGTATTGGTCAACAATTCTGATGTAGGGTCAACCATTGTTCCATCATAATTGTTGCATACAACTTCAGTGCATGTATCATCTATTCCTGCACTTTCTGAATCCCACAATTGTTCTTCAGGAGCCACATTTGTTACACCTCCAACCTCATTTTCAACATGGGCAACAGTAACCTCAAAATTTTCTTCATTAATGCCTGTTACAAAACCCAAACCTTGGGAAGTTTGATTCCAAGTTCCAGACAAAGATGACCCTGTGCGTTGGTGCTTTGTGTTTATGTCAGACCTGTAAGTTTCAATGTCAGATTTCTTGCCACTTAACTACCGCTGTACACGAGTCTCTGTTTGCCTAGCTGAGCCCAAGTCCACAGAGGATGATGCAGAGGCACTGCCCTGTCCAAGGGAACTTCTCATGCTTTGTGCCCCATCTCTCACATAGGACAGATCATCATAAGAAATACTAGAGGCAGTGAAAGTCACATATTTGTAGCTTAAGTTATTCAAAAGTAATTTTATTATGTGTGTGAACTAAACTACAGTTGCATAAAACAAGAAGAACTAATGATTGCATTGATGCTTTATGCATGTCCATGCCTTTACATGGCACTGTCAAAGCAACTAGTAAAGGTTTGAATAACCTCCCTTGCTCAACCCAGAATGCAACCAGAGAAAGAGAATTCTGACATGATTTTTAATTAATTTGCAACCTACCTGATGGAAATTTATGGTGCAGGTTACATTTGTTTGTGGAAGCAAACTCAAGTACTGCACTTCACCCAACTCCAAATGTGTTAGAATGGTCAGCATCACCTGCCACAGTCAAAAACCAGCAGTTCAAGTCTTACGATGCATGTAGATATGACAAAGTGAACTCAAATGGAAAATGCTTTATCATCATTCTAGTATTTCTACCAAGAGGAAGACACCAGGATACAAATCTAAAAGTAATAAGCAGTTACTGATGAAAATGAACGAAGCTTCACAATATTTTCTATGTCCTTAAAATTATCAAAAACGTCATGGAAGGTCAATGTAATTTACCCCTTTTTTTTCTTCAAAAAATAAAGAATTATCAGGAAATTTGAATTTGCATTAAGTATTAGAAATAGAATGCTGAAAGAACCTCTTCTTTCATATCAAATTTACGCGATGCAGGCTCTTTGACTAAAGAGCAAATTTTCCCATGTGAATCCAATTCATTAGTAAAAACTTCAGAGAGAAATCTGCTGACTGCATATTCATCTACACCATCACTGTGAAGCACAATATTTTTGGTTAATTTCAGATCTTGAAAACCATAAATCAAAGCTAAACAGAATATGAAATGCATTGAATCACCTGTATGTTAGACTACGAATTTTAAAATATGTGCTATCATTAAAAAAGAGATGGCAATAAGATAATCTACCATCGAGTTCAGCACGTCCAATCTCCTACAGAAAAGCATGATTTGTTTTTTTCAAAAAAATTTTACATGAACATTATCTTCCAAAGAACCAATGGTTAAGAAACAAATACCCACCTGAACATACTCTTCCAAGCTTTCTGGTAAAGTGTAATGGATAACCTGAGATAGAAGCATTTAGAAAGCTTCAGTACAATTTCTACAATGCAGTGCCATGCTAGATGTGTGTATATGTGACAACAAGATATCTCATAACAAATAATGTTGCTTAGTGCTGCTTTTACATGAAAGCATTATAAAAATTCATACCAAGATATCAACATGATTCATGTGATATGATTACCCTGCTGTTGGTAGAGAAACCTGACTGTCCAACTTTTTAATAACTACATTTGAGCATCAATTAATTATGTTAGGGGGGGTGCAGAAAAATAAAATAAAATAATCTTGTCAAGCCCCATGCCAAATGCCACAGTTGCAACAACCTTCCAGAAAATAATTCAAGTACATGAATTAGCCATATGTCATGACATCTTACTACATAATTAGAAATGAAAATAAGTTTCAAAGCCAAAGTGAACCAGAACAATTTCTTACCACTCTTATCTTGTTGGAACAAAATGATTCCTAAATACGACTTCGATCCTTTGAGGGTATACCACTGTGGTAACTCTTTATTTATTATTATTATTTTTTTTTTGAGAAGTTCAAATAAGTTACAGTAAAGAATAAATTAGTTTCATATGTAAGAAACCATGTATGATTCAACTGAATCAAGAAAGTATATGAGAGGCTAACCATTGCTTCAATATTGTTGTCGCTTAAGTATTTGCTTATGAAATCAGTTTCATACTGCAAAATAAATAATTTAATCAAAAGCCAGGCAGTCAAAATTGCAATGTAAATAAGTATAAAATTTCATCCAATTGAATTTTGTATTGTCAAAAAAATCATTTTAAGCAAAGGATTTAACTATCTAAGGCCACACTATATGGAAAGAACTCATGGGGTTACCTGAAATTTGCAGTATATAAAAATGCTTTGAACTTCCGCAAAGGGGGAAGACTTGATTAACATGATCAGATCCTTCATTCTGTTTGGTAAAGATAGTTAAACATGAGATGAGAAGCAACAACCATTCAGTATAGAGAGTCAAGAGTCTTACTTGCCAAACTTCAATGCCTACATATTTTATTGGCTTCAACACATAAAGGATTTGGGATACTTTAATAGTAATGAGACACTGCATTAGCTTGGGAATTCAGATCATTACAACAAACATACCTAGAATAATTTTTGTTTTTTTAAATCAAGAAAATTAACAGATGGGTACCTGAGAATTCGGAAGCCAATCCACCAATCCCCTAATCTAACAAGAAAACACAAGAAAAAGGAAAGGTTGAAGAAAGTTCAAGATCATAGACCCAAATTGCAACCTTTTCCAAATAGTTTCACTATTTTTTTTATTAAAAACAATTGGCAATAAAACAATTATGAGAGAGAGAGAGAGAGAGAGAGAGGACTCACAACATTTTGTACGGATTTAACAACACTCAGAGAAGTCGAAGATTCAGAGCTTTCACCTGTAGCCTTAACAACAATGGCAACACGACTCTGTCTCTCTGCAATGAAAATTATTAGAAACCCATTAATAAAGAAGAAACTAAACCTAACCATGGAATACTGCAAGCCTACAATGAATCAGATTGAGTGATGTAAAGTCCGTCACTGTAACATTTCATTCATGGGAAATGATCTGGTAAATCTTGCTGCCGCAAGCTTTAGGGCAGCCCTTCAACAAAATTGATGGAACCCATTAATGGAAAGCTAGAATTAGAGCAAAAAGTGAATGACCCAATAGAGTATTATGCATTAGAAATCATACCTTGTTACCTATTTGAAGAACCCATGTGTGTGCGTGTATGTGAAGCTGTATGGGTTTTTGTGAGACAGAAAAATAGAGCCGAGAGGGAGAGAGAGGATCTCAGGCGACGGTGACCAACAAGGAGGTGAATCGGTGCTCCGGTTGCCGGCCAACGCGAGGAGGAGCGCCGGTGAGAGTGGAGGGAAGAGGAGCGGCGGTGAGGGTGAGGGAGAGGGAGAGGGAGAGGGAGAAGGACGCTGAAGAGAGAGAGAGAGAGAGAGACAGAGGAGCTATTAATGGTTCAGGGTTGGGTTTGGTTTGGTGAGACCGTGAGATGTGTTATATAAATGGTTATTGGCGACTATCGATATTGGTCGCTAAAGGTATTTTATAAATCCCTCTAAATATTTGGAAGGTCTCTCTCCAAAACATTTTACTTCTTTGGCGACTAAAATTCAATTTTGTTGCTGAAAACAATCTTTTGGCTACCAAAATTTTGGTTGCCAAAGATAAAAATTAATTTTTTATTTTACATTTGCCGACTAAAGGTTTTAGTAGCCAAATCTATACCTACGGCGACTAAAAGTATTTTTGGTCTCTGAAAATCAACTTTTGGCCACTAAATTTTTAGTCGCCAAAGACAAAAATTAATTTTTTATTTTACATTTTCCGACTAAAGGTTTTAGTAGCCAAATCTATACCTACGGCGACTAAAAGTATTTTTTGTCACCAATTTCTGGCATTTTTGCCGACTAAATTTATTTTAGTCGCCAATTGTGATATTTTTAGCTACTTAAATTAATTTTAGTAGCCAATTGTAATATTTTTAGCTACTAAATTTTTTTTAGTCGCCAATAATCAACATTCCCCTACGAAAAAAAATTAGTAGCTTAAAAGTTGACTTTTGCCGACTAAAATTAATTTTGGTAGCCAATTCCCACACTTTTGGCGACTAAATTTGTTTTGGTAGCCAAAAATAGTCGCCAAAAATGTGTTTTCTTGTAGTGTATGGATCACATTGCCTTGCGTTTATAGTAAGAAAATAATTAAGAAATTGAATTATATATAATATTACTTAAAAAACAATCATCTATTATAATAAGCAAAATACAATGGTTCGATTATAAAGATAAGATAAATTTCATTGACCCCCCATAAATTTTGATAAAAGTTTATTAAGTTTTATAATTTTGATATAAAGTACACTGCTTTACCTTGAATTTTAAATTTGAGTAACAATTTAGGCCCCGACTGTTGCCTCTTCCATCTCATTAGTGACGACCACCACACCTCCATCTCCACATGTCATAACCATATTGTCATGTCCTCATATTGCGAATGCCACTTCCTCCATGACAAATTCAATGCTAAATATTTGTGTTAAATTTGATGAAAAATTTGATAAAATGACTAGATTTTACAAGAGTTCCTATATTTATCTCTCATGAGGGACCTATAAGTGAAATTTATATTTTATTTTGTGAATGTATTAGAGAAACATTGTCAAATAATGGCATTTTAGCACTGCAACCTACCGAAATTTGGTTTTGATGTTGTCAATTTAGGCACTAACTATTGAAGATGCTGTAACAGATTGGGTCAATCAAGTCAAGCCCAAACTTGATTTTCTTGGGTTGGAATTTTCTTGATCAACCAATAAAAAAAAATAAACCTGATCAAGAATATGGGCCAGTCCTTAATTTTCCAACAATGGGAAGAAACTAAAAGGTCTTTGAACTGGCCCAAATCCATTTTGCAAGTCGGCCCATACATATATATATACACACTAGGGATAACTTGTGCCTAAAGGCACTCCCAATAAATTTTTTTGGTACCAACATGGTCTCCAGAATACAATTGTAATAAGTCAATTCAAAATGATAATAATTTCACTGCAAAATAAAACTTCACACATAAGAATATAGCAAATTAAACTTTAAATAACAAATTTTAGAAATAAAAATGTTATTGTGTGCATAAACAAAGAAATTCACCTCAAAATGACACATGTATAATGAGTTAGAATGGGACAACATTGAATAAAAGAATATTTTTAAATTAGTCTCATAATTGGGTAACCTTTTTACTTTATCAAATTTTAAAATCTAAGAGAAATGGTGAATAAACTTTTTGGTACAAAAGAATAATCTCACTTATAAAATAAAAAAAAAGAAAAAAGAAGGCTAATCATCCAATTTAGAATGAAAGAGTCAACCATCAACACACATAGAGAAACAATCATTCAGCTTGGTTTTGGTTTTCAGAATTCATTTTTCAGAAAATTCTAATTTTTTTATTTTCTGTATTTTTTTGTTTTCACTAATTTTTAAAAATATTTTAAGCAATTTTTTTTTTTTAAATTTTTAAACATTCCTAACATAAATACACTTCAAAAATATAATTTTTGTAAAAAAAATCTTTAAAAAATTCACTAAATACCAAAAATATAAAAAAAATTACGAAAATTAAGTATATTTTTCATATTTTTGTGTATATATTAATTTTTTGAAATATATATATATTTTTTACAAATATTTTACTTTTTAGATATATCTATGGTGCATTTAAAAAAGTAAAAAAATTGTTTAAAATTTTTAAAATATTCGCTAAAGATAAAAAAATATAGAAAACAAAAAAAACTCAATTTCCTAAAAATTAAATTCAAAGAATTGAAACCAAACATACTGAATACAATCCCAACATTTCCAATGTGGATTAGTCGCCTGTAACAAAATCAGTCTAACGCTTGAATTTGCTTTAAAAAACCAATTAAAAGAAATCTCAAAAGGAAAAATCACATAAAAATACTTATGAAAAACAAAGAAACCAATAACTATGAATTAAAAGGAATTAAACATAAAAAAAATTCTAATATAACTCTTCTTGATAAAAAGCACCATGTCTCACCAAACATACATGGAGAGCATTAGGGAGTTCAAATTTGTTGAAATGTTGAATGATAATTTATACTAAAAATGTTTTTCCTTTACCTGGGTTTTGCTACAGTAACCTGACCTGGAAATGTTTAAGTCTCATCCACCTATAAAATGTAGAAGGGAAAAAATGTCTCAACCCATAAGAGAGGTGTATCAAAAAACAAAAAAGGAAACTTACATGGCCAAATATGGTGATGTTGTCCGTGGTTAGAGTTTATTATTATTATTATTATTATTATTATTATTATTTATTTATTTATTTTTTAACAGAAGTAACCAGGTGCAACAATGTTCATCCAACCCCTGTATAGTCCCTACTATTACAAACCTTTCCCTCTGGGATCATATTGTGACAATGTTGTGCTAGGAAAAATAGATGATTCCTCACAAATAAGTCAATTGAAAGAAAATAAAACCAATGCAAAAAATTAAATCAATAACAACACAAGAATTTTTACGTAGTTCTTTCAATGAGAGGTACGTCCACGAGACTGGAATCCGATTCCACTATTAACCTAGAGTTTTCAAACGATTATAATCGAGACACAAATGGTTTCACAAACCACCCTTAGGTGAATTCTAAATAATCACAAAATAAATAAGAAAAAAGATCTCATCAAATAAACGAACAAATTTCGAAACAGAATATAGAAGACTACAAATCTAAATCAAACTAGCACCTTCAAAGCAGAGTTGAAATTGTCAAAACGCCCAAAGAAAGCGAAGCAAAGCAAAATACACACAGGTACTATACCAACGAACCCACCAATTGAACTTTCACACCAAACACTATGTTGCCACACAAAGCCAAAGCCAAACCCACCGAAAGAATCACCAAGTACACACCACCGAAAGATGTATATAGTTGTTGCACCATACAAACTAAACAATACAAAATAAATATTGTTGACTCTTGGGTTTTTTTATTAAAACCTTAACTGTTAACAAACAGATTATTAAATACCCACTGGGTCTCCAAAAGTCATATATAATATATAAAATATATTATAACTAACACCAAACTAAATTAAAATTCTTTTAATAAACCAATTGGGTTACATAATCTACTAAGGAGGTATACCCAACAATTTGCCCCCTACCGACTTTGGTGGAACTATCAACCATACCCGCCAAAGTTTGATACTTCAAATGTTTGTCCCTCGACAAAGTTTTAGTCAACATATCCGAAATATTATCATCCGTGTGAATCTTTTCGAGTTGTAATAATTTCGAATCTAACACGTCATAAATCCATTGGTATCTTACATCAATGAGTTTCGATCTCGAATGAAAAGTGAAATTTTTACTCAAATGAATAGTATTTTGACTATCACAATAAAACACATACATTTCTTACTTCAAACCCAACTTTTGTAAAAATTTCGTCAAGCATAACTCTTTTTTACAAGCTTCTATAATGGTGATGAATTCAACTTCGATAGTTGAGAGCAACACATATTTGTAATTTAGATTTTCATGTCACAGCTCCCCTTGCAAATGTCATCAAATACCTCGAAGTAGATTTCCTAAAATCAACATCACTGGCCATGTCGGAATCCATGAACCCATCAAGCATTGGCTTACCATTCCCAAAATACAAACACACCTTCAAAGTCCCTCGAAGATATCTTAGAATCCATTACACCGCTGCCTAATGTTCTCTACCAGGATTAGAGAGAAACTAACTCACCACACCAACGACGCGAGCAATATCCGACATGTACAAACCATGGTGTATATATCAAAGAACCAACCGCTGAAGCATAAGGAATTTTCAGCATCTCTTCCTTGTCTCACTTGTAGGACATTGACTTGAACTAAACTTGAAGTGATCCACAAGTGGACAACCAACCGGTTTTGCTTTATCAATGTTGAACCTCTCAATAAATTTCTCAATATAGCTTTCTTGAGACAACCAAATCAGCCGCTTTTTGCGACAATGAACAATTTTTATACCAAGTATTTGCTTTGCTGGCCCCAAATCTTTCATAGCAAAAGACTTGTTCAACTTTAACTTCAACTTGTTAATCATGGTAGAATATTAACCTACAATTAACATGCCATCAACATAAAACAAAAGAATAATAAATTTGTCATCTGAGAATTTTTTCACAAACACACAATGGTTCAAAGTAGTTTTAGAAAAACCATTATTCATCATGAAAGAATCAATTTTTTTGTACCATTGCCGCGGTGCTTGCTTGAGGCCATACAAGCTTTTCTTCAATTTGCAAGCAAATTCTCTTTCATTTTCTCTACAAAACTCTTTAGTTGCTCCATGTAAATTTTTTCTTCAAGGTCGTCACGAAGAAATGTGGTCTTCACATCAAGTTGCTCAGCTTTAAGATTCATACTTGCGACCATGCCAAGTACAACTCGAATTGAAGACATCTTCACAACCGGCGAAAAAATCTCATTAAAGTCAACACCTTTCTTTTTCCCAAAGCCTTTAACAACAAGACGTGCTTTGTACCTTAGATTATTGCTATCATTCTTCAATTTAAAGGCCCACTTATTTTTCAGAATTTTCCTTCTCTTAGGAAACTTCATCAAATCACACAGCTAGAAATTAGGTTGTTAGTAGGTACTAAAAACGTCGTTAATTCTTTTTGTGACGTTCCCAACCGCTATGGTGGTGTTTTAGGAACGCCGTCTTATCTCTTTCTTTTTTTTTTTTTTGAAATTGTGCTAATTTTATGTGATTGAACTAAAAGAACACCAATAATAAAACTAAATAGCACTAATATAAAATAATAACTCCCATTCAAATAACAAATACAACATTATTTCACTTTCCCATTCAATTTAATATCCAATCACCATTACCCACAAAATAACATATCCAAAAATTGAATTCACAATTCTCAATCAAAAAATTACTACCTTATATACAAAGCCACAAAATAACATTACCCTCTTCTCTCTATCACCACTCCCCCATTTAACACAAAAAATAAGAAGTGAACCAAAACACCCAACCCCCCAGTCAGATCAAAGGAAAAAAAGAAAAAAAGAAGAGAAATAAAAATCCAAAGGATTTTAACACAGAAAATCCTGAAAAAATTGCCGACTCTTTAGCAACTAATTCAGAAGTTGTGGTTGGATCCGATGACAATTTGGCAAACAACTTCTTCACTTGCTCAACAAGGTCCTCATGCTTCACAGCTCCAGAAGCAACAATTACCTAGAATAGTAGCTCCAGGTAGAACACCCAATGTTTAAGACTTCAAGAAAGTAAATTGACGGCAATGAATAATTGATAGATGAATGAAGGTGATGCTAACATGTTAACAACTAAATAGAACTAGCAATAAATTATGAACAGACAAAATGCTCTTAACTTTTTGACACCACCTACCATTCTGGATGTAGTGTAGTGTGTCGATATATACTTTTGAAGATGATCTTTGGTGATCGTCTTGACATTTTGAGCAGGACCACGAATGGTTCTGCCTAAAGGCATGTGTTGGAAAGCAGTAGCATACAAATGGTCGGAAATAACTTCATCTGTTTGGCCTTCAACCTATAAAGAATAATACAATAATCAGAAGGAGCAAGCAATCAAACAATTAATAATAAAGTAATTTGATTTGATTGAATCAAAAGAACATCTAGAGATGATTTAGTTGATGAAATGAAGAAACCACCAAAGAATACTCAAAACTATTAGTCCACAAATCAGATCATTCAAAATCTAATTTCAATCAACTTCTGCCATACCTTAAACATTAAACTTCAGCACTGCTATTTTCCCCATATATTATATAACTTTTGGGGAGACAGAAGAAAAAATATCATTTTCTCAAATGTCGATCCTACTAATCAATTTACAAATCACTGGTCAGAATAGAGCACTATAGACCTAAATTTTAAATGAACCATGTACCAATCAAACAACTGGTTTTGTGAGAACCTCAAACAAACAAGGAGGGGAAAAAAAAAACTTTACGCAAACATTTTGAATTTAAGTATGTGGCAACAGTCACTATAGCAGATCAATTTAATATTAGGACAAGAAACCAAGTATGTGGCAACAGTCACTATAGCAGATCATTTTGAATTTGATTCTCTGTTCTCCAAATAATATTAGGACAGGAAACAAAGTACAAAATATGAAGATCAATTTAAGTATGTGGCAGCAGTCACTATAGCAGCCATCAAAATATGTTCTCAATTGGCTCGGTGCAAACATAAGCTTCTGGAAATTGTAATGGAAGTTGGAGAAGCATACCAGATCAGCAACATTGCCAACACACTCTCTCTTCGCAGTAACATCCCCAATGTTTTCACCTTTGGAAAAGGCTTTGTATATTGGAGTGCGAGTCGAGGTTGATGTGACAGCACCAACATTCTACAAGTGAAACAATATGAAAGTAAAGCAATAAAGCTAATTCATCACATAGATTAGCCGAAATTTATAAAATGGGAAGAAAATGAGAGACAGAGAAGGGTTGAACCTTGGCCACATTGGTAGCACAAGCTAAAGGCAGAAAAAGGTGTGGCACAGCTGTAGTTGCCAACTCTACCCCAGCACCCAACTCCATTAGAAGATCACCCGTAAACCGAAGCTGAAGGGAATCATGATTTTGAGCAAAGATTAATTGTTAGAAATCAGAACTAAGTTCAGTGAAAATTGACCATAAGAATAACTATGATCTATATCTCTTCATATGAGTGGTACTGCATTTATGCAATCATAACATCCAAGCAATTTGGCAAATTATATGGAACTGTGTTTATATTAACAAATTTTATTACAACAAACTAGAGCAAAAAAAAAAAAAAAACAATAATATACTTAGCTAGATTTGCCAACATTTGAAATTTAATCGCAGCCTTTCCTTCCGGGTGTTCAAGGGAAGAAAAATGCATTATCATTTCCTTCAAAGTGTGCTTTGTGCTTTTCACATCATTATCCCATAAGATGCTCTGTAATCGAAGTACAGAAACTGTATTTACAGGTCAAATTGTAAGAACTGAGGTCAAGCAAAAACTGAAACTAACACAGATTCTCATATGACATGATAATGAACAAAAACATTGTATGTGAGGGTAAGGGTGGAGAAGAAAGGCACACAATCAATAACAGCGAAAACAATATAGAATAACAAAGGATAATGAACAAAAATGGATGGGAACAAAAATGGATAGCAGATTTCCAGAACTAAGTATAGAACCATCGACGTTGAGCTCAGAGAGAAGACTAGACTCTACTGCAAAGGAGTCTCATCTTGATGTAGAACCTGCATGAAAATTCAAGATACTTAGGAAATCCATGAAAATAATCGGCCATAATTCATGAAACTGAAGCGGTGATGTCACGTCCCCAAACCGCCCCTAGTAGTTTGGTGCCGTGATGGCCAGTAATCCGAGATTACCGAAGGCCGACTTACAAAAATCACACACAATCAGAGTATAAAATATGGGGCTCACAAGTGCGGAAGCAATATATAAGCAGAATCTAAGTAGTCCATGAGAGTCGTGCATAAGTCTAATGAAATGACATACATCTTTATAAAGTCTTATAACTTAGATACAATAGGAAATGAGATACAAAATACATCTTGACCAAAAGGCTTCTCAAGCTGACATATACAAGTACACATGAAATATAAGTTAAGAAGCATGATCTTCAAGATGGTACAAAATGCAAATCCAAAACATGTCGGCAATGCACCCAAAAACATATCGGCATCACGTCTAGGCCTCATCGCCTTCTTGTTCATCACCTACAGATATATAGAGAGGGTGAGCTTGGATACTCAGTGAATGATATTAGAAATAAAGGTTTTGCATGATTGATATCCAAGATCTCTTCCAAAACAATATATAGCATACTTTACCATCAAGGGAAAAATCAAGTTCTTTAGCCGGTCTTTCAAGTTCCTTGGATGTTAATAACATCTACATAATACAAGGGGTGATGACATTCCAAGACAAGAGTGCAGTTGCATTATAGTCCCCTGGCACTAAGGACTTTCAAGACAAGAGTGCAGTTGCATTATAGTCCCCTGGCACTAAGGACTTTCAAGAAATGTCATCAAAACAAGGTAGTGCTTGATATACAAATAGGGATAGTCATTCATGCTAAATCAAATACTTTTCGTCAAAACAAAGCAAAGCAAGATTTATCAAAACAAGTATAACATAGCTTTATCAAAAATACCACTCACATAGTCCTTCAAACGTTGGGGTCGAGACAAGCCCAAGTCCTACAAACACATGGCAAGGCCTATTGAATGCACTTTCAAACAAGTTTCATATGTATACAAATGATCTCGGAAAACATGCTGGGCACCAACCAGGTCTAGGCCGAGGTTACACACCTCCTTGCCGAGGTGCGTTCCCAAGGGCCACATTCAAGGAAAAGAGGTAGGAAACTCTGGGTTTCCCTCTACTGATGAACATGAAGAACATGAGTACGAAATCATGAAAAATATGAATGTTCAATTACAACCTGTTATTACAAAATCTGGGATTTTCATGCTACGAGTTCGAAAACATGGACCTGGGTACCCATACTTGAAAATTATGCAAGAACAAACACAAAAGCATGAATCTAGGCATAAGCCTTCGGATCAAAACACTATTTCCTTGAAGAACACATGAATGTCATTTTTCTCTTTCTAAAACCGAACTTCAAAACAATGCATGGCTTACAAATCATATTCGATCTTGCAATGCAATAACATGAACATAAAGAACATCATGAGCAGATCAAGAATCTAACCTTAGAACACGAATCTAACGGTTCGATCTCATGGAATCAGGCTTGGAAGTCTACTCTCTCTCAAGAACTCTTCTCCCTCTTCTAGAGCTTCTCTCTCTTCTCTTCAAAACAAGATACAACAAATGATAGGTTCTCTCTCCCTATCGGCTGACTTAATTCTCAGCTCGGACACGTGGCAACGGCTGGTTGGTTCTCTTCAAAAAGGTGGCTGACAGACCAGACAAAAGCATGGCGAAAGGGTGTTCAACAAGTAAAACGGTATGGGCTCTCTGGTACGGCAATAACATCGGCTAATAACAAGGCGTTTCTAACAAGCTACACGGAATGGCACTCCGGCAAGGGGTGACATCGGCTAACTAAAGGGCTTCGGCAACTAAGGTGACAATGACCTCGGCTAGGAAGGACACCACTTGACTAAGCTGTGCCACATCTTGGCCTAGATGTGCCACACCTCGGTCTAGGTCATACCACTCCAGGACGAGATCACTTGGGTGTAAAGGTAACATCTCGGCCAATATTTCAAAGCAAGGATGGAGGTCAACAAAGGGGTTCCAAGATACTTCTAGGCTGAGGATGACCTCGGCTTGGAATGGTCTAGGCGTAACGTAACGTAGGCTTGGCATAACTTCGGCGTAACAACAAGGAAGGAGCAAAGCAAGCACACAACACTTAGACAAATCACAAGGCATCAAAACAAGACATGGATCTTACTCATAAAAGCAAAACAAGTCACAACCATACACATGCAAGCTTAACAAGCCACAATCATACAGATGCTGATGAACATGATTAAGACATAAAATGTGGGTTCTTACAGGTGAACTCAAATATACAGTGCTAACCAACCTGCAGTGTACACACTGTATCTGTTGAGGAAAATATTGTTCCTATTGCTGAATCAAATTGGTAATAAATAAGGTTGAGCCAAAAAGTTATATGATAAAAGAAATGTTAGTACATTATCATGACATGTTAAACCAACACCCAAAGAAGGCAAGATGGATAAGGATCAAACCAAGATAGTCACGGGGAGTCAACCCAACACACCGAATCTTAGGAAACATCCATCAGCTGCCTAAATAATAGTAACATTCAGTAAATTAGAGACCACTTAGACGAAATAGTGTGTGAAAACACACAATAAACTTATCGAGAAGGAAATTACATCTGGAATAAATACGAAAAACGAAAAATAATGTATGACAGATAAATATATCACCAGCTGCGAAAACCAGACCTTAGGCCGTAAAACCGGTGGAATCCCCTTCCTGATGAGTTTCTTGAGGGTAACTGCATTACCTAAAGCTGAAAATTTAAGGGAATATTTAAGGGTTGGTGAAATTTGAGTCAGCAAATACCAATTGGCCCATTCACTCACAATATATATATACTATTGTGAGTGAAGAAGAATGAAAATAGATATACCTTGAAGCAGAGAGAGACTTGGTTACAGTAGTAAAACCCAAACAAAGAGATCAATATTCTATGAAAGAATCTAAGAATCTAAATCCATGCAAACATAAAACTGCATTACATAATTTCCATATATTCTCCAACAAAAAGGTCTCCTAGAAAGGATTAAATCAACCGCTAAAGATTAAAGTTTTGATGAGTAAACTAACAAGAAAACCATGGCGAGCAAGCCAAGGATCATTATATAAACTATTGCATGTACCATACCAAAATTGAAACTATATAATATTTAGACTTCTAAAAATAGTTATTTCCAATGAATATAACTTAATAAGCTCCTCGAATGACTCAAATAATCGTTACCAAGATTGGGAATTTACATAACCAGTAACCAAACAAGCAATCCTTTAACACGTGAAATTAATGAACTACCATTATATAAACTATTGATGCACATAATTGTTAAGGACAACTTAAACATTCCTAAAAAAGTTGTATTTGAGAAGTACCTATACCCCAAAGCACGATTTCTAAAACTACAAAAAAAACATGAATAACACAATGACAACCCAATTTGGGAAAGAAAAATGCACAAAAAATAAATAAAATAAAAAAATCAGTATATCTAAAAATCTGACAAGTGAAGTTCATATGCTGCTCTGCAACTGAAAATAGGGAAATTTCTCAACTTCCATGATAAAATTGGACAAGCTTTAAGACTGCCTTGGGCCTCGGTCGTTGGATTAACATCTTAATCTAAGGGCTTTTCCTATTACCAAACTTTGGTCGGGCAAGTGGATAGTTTGTCTTCATCATTTATTGTCAGATCATCCCACTGTGAACGACTTAGATTATGTCTGGTAGTAGTGGCCAACTTGCCCAATGATCCGCCTGTCCAATTATCTTAATCAAACGGTTGTGTTGCTGGGATAAGCTGAGCCTATGCCTTTATCTCTGACAATTGTTATCTTTACTATTGACTAAGGACGGATCTAAGGGTATTCTCATATTCTGTAGATTTCTTTCTAAAATGAGATTTTACTCATGCTTTGGTCACATGACATTGCCCCCTTATCTGATGGGCCTTTTGGTCATCTGGTTTTTTTTTTTTTTCCCTTGGGCCAGTCTACTGGCTTAGATTTGGGCCAATGTTTTACCCCGTCACAGAAATTTAAAGTCAATTATAGTGACATTTAATTGATTTTAGAGAAATTTCTCTAACTTGGGTCTGTGAAATTTTATTATTTTTTTTTTTTTAAATTTCATATTTGAAAATATTTTTCTTCAGATTATGGTACTTTAACATATTCAATATTTTTTAGGTGCTCCTAAAAAATGATCAAATACATGTAATTTCACTCCATTTCCTTTTCTGTTACTTCAACAAATCCTAAATCTATTATGAAGAAACTTAAACCAATTTCAATGAGTAAAAAACTATATTTAGATTTACAAA